TCTAACCTAAACTATTCCATTATCATCCATATGTTTATCCAATGACCATTTAAATGCCCTTAAAGTGGGCGAGTCTACTATTTTTGCAGGCAGGGCATTCCACGCCCTTACTACTCTCCGAGTAAAGAACCTACCTCTGACATCTGTCCTACATCTATCACCCCTCAATTTAAAGCTATGTCCCCTCGTGCTAGCCATCACCATCCGAGGAAAAAGGCTCCCACTGTCCACCCTATCTAATCCTCTGATCATCTTGTATGTCTCTATCAAGTCACCTCTTAACCTTCTTCTCTCTAATGAAAACAGCCTCAAAACCCTCAGCCTTTCCTCATAAGACCTTCCCTCCATACCAGGCAACATCCTGGTAAATCTCCTCTGCACCCTTTCCAATGCTTCCACATCCTTCCTATAATGCGGTGACCAGAACTGTACGCAATATTCCAAGTGCGGCCGCACCAGAGTTTTGTACAGCTGCAACACATCCAAGCCAACCACGTCTGCACTGGCTCAGTCATGTTCATCAGCTAGATGATGGCTGTATACCAAAAAGACCTTCTGTGGGGTCACTGGGATAAGAAGTCATGACCTCTTGGACATCAATTCCTCTGCTGCGAGGACACCTGTGAATGAGCTGTGAAGATGGTGGGCAGTTACGATTGGGAGATAGCCGCTGCAAGTCATGACTTCAGGAGGCCGAGCGGTCGAAGGACATTGAAATAGGCGAGCAGAAGCAAAAAGCTAGCTGGCCGATGGGGGATGAGAAAACAAGAGACCAACAGATGGTGCACCTTGTCAGCTCACTATCATCCTCTACAGCCAGAATAAAGGTCCTGAGCCACAGCTTAACACAGCTGTAAAGTTGTCATAGTCCTACTGTACCATAGGGTTGTTCTCTCATTAAAGAGACACAACTGGTGGTGGTGTACCTGAGGGTCAGGGGAGAGGTTGTGAAGCACAGTCCTCCACAGTAACCTCGGCCAGTGCAGGATTTGAACCAACTCGTTTACCTTTTAACACGGTTGACCACCACAGCACATATAAACCTGAACACTGGCACCACTGACAGGGTCCTGCAACCTTCATACAGAAACCAGCTTGAATAGATTATTCACAATTAAAGACTTCCTGTTAACACATTACAAACTCCAACATAACTAGTGACTAATCAAGACGTGATTCCATTAGATTGGTAATTCTAATTTAGTATTTCATTACTTATTGATTCATTGCACACAATACTTACCCCAGGAGCAGAGTAGGTACCCTCCATAGGGAAGGCACACGGAGCTACTGTATTCACAGGACTGCTGGGAGGTGGTGTCACTATTAAACCAGTAGTGCTAATGTGGACCTGTTAGTAGAAAGAGGGTATTTTATATCAGACAAAGTTGCACATTGCAACATCTGTAAATCACATCTCAAAATATCAATGGTATCAGCAATGTGCAACGAACAGATCTGTTGGAATCAAAAACATTAGGATCATGTTAATCCTTCTGCAACATTAGAAACACCACCCAAAATTTACATTTCCATGGAGATACTGGTATGCTTAACAAAGTCAACAAAATCTGAAAGAAAAGGCTGAGGAAGAGGAGCAAAAAACTAGTCAGTCTCACCACGAGGGGAGATGATCTCAACACTAACCCATGACGGAACTCAAGCTGTTCACCTTGCAGTGGAAATTGTAATTTGAGAGTTGAGTGGACCATAGATAAACGTTTTTAAAAAATGATTCTATCGTTGGAAACTGGAGCAACCTTAAAATCAAACATTTCTCTCTTTTTTAAAACCTACATTTTGCTACCACCCAAAAAGCTGGAATTGATAAACAGACCACTGGGAGTGTCAATTGGAAAGCAGAGGGAATTATTTCAGCCTGATATTTTACGGTTTTAAAGGGCCTTGCTCCCATGCTTCAACATCAAAGCTATTCCAATTGAGAGAATTCAGTATTGCAAATTCTAAGTGGATCTAGATTGTGACAGAAGACAAAAAGCTACAATTTAGACTTTTCGCAGTCTTTAGAACCAAGATCAATATTTTGGAAGCAGAAGGAATTGGTACAAACTTTACCACATTCAAGAACTCAAAAACTACAGTTCCTAACTGGGGAGACTCTGTTGATGATGACAGTCAAACTGACACATCCAGAAATCCATAACTAAAACATGACAATTCACTTTTAAGATCTCAAAATCAGGGATTTCGCTTCATGAAACCTGATGCATTAATGTGTTGAAATAACGAATTTGAGAGAACCATATGTTAAATTTTACCTTGTATATTCCATGACAATTAACATTACCTTAATGATCAATGATTTGGTAGTACAGAGACCAAAGACACATGTTGTTGAAGCTTTTTGTCTTGCACCCAACAACACCATTTGCAGGAATACCATTTTAAGGGAAAAACTAACACTTATACTGTATGGAAGTTCTACTTGTTTGGCAAATCGACTCTAATTGATAGAGGCGTTGCCATGAAGAATGTGCCAATTGATGATGATTTGACAGTTAGTTGCCAGGTTTTGTTTACGTTTTAAACCAAGCACACTGCCCCGAAAAATTAACCAGGGGAAGGGGAGGAAAAATTAGAAAAGCCCAATTCAGATCACAGACAATGAGTTGTTCTCTTTTGGGTACTTCTGATTCCTTGCAACTCTTTACTGTTAATACAAGGTTTTGGATATGCCAATTCTTACTCTTTCATTCACCATTTGAAGATTCACCCTTTTATTGTCTCTGAATGAGGTATTCTGTTTTCCTTTCAACAGGGAAAGTTTGTAGAATTGCACTCACTGGGGTAGTGTGCTGAAAGTCAAGCCTGCTACTTCTCCATTCTTAACAAAATTTAAAATCCCAGTCTTACCCGTGTTTACAGAAAGCACGTACAGGTTTACATACTTAACAGAATTACTATTAATTATGGCGACACAGTGGCTGGAAATGGTAGATCAGTGGTTAACATTGCTGCCTCACAGCACCAAGGACCCAGGTTTGATTCCAGCCTTGGGTGACTGTCTGTGTGAAGTTTGCACATTCTCCCTGTGTCTGCGTAGGTTTCTGCTGGGTGCTCTGGTTTCCTCCCACAGTCCAAAGATGTGCAGGTTAGGTGGATTGGCCATGGGAAATACAAGGTTACGTGGACAGGGTGGAGGGTGGGTCTGGGCCAGATGCTCTTCGGAGGATCAGTGCAGTCTCCATGGGCTCAACTGGCCTCTTTCTGTACTGTGCAGTTTTTATGATTTTATGAATTACAAGTAAAAGGACACTAGCTACAGGTAAACAATTATGAACCAGTGGCATTAGTCTCTACAAGTTAAATTCTAACCCCTTATCAGATACCCATTACACAGTCAGGTGGAAAAGAATATGGGTGTTATGGATGGAGAGAAACTGGAAAGGCAATTGAGTGGTCTCTGTCCACAGAGATGGTGCTTGTGGAGATCAGAACTTCTCGGTCTTCCTTCTCTGGATACTTTCACTGGTTTGCTAGAGGTACACGGGTAACTAGTTCACACATAGAAAAGGCCTCTAACCCATTAATAATTATAATGGGTAATTAATAAACATTAACAAAGTCACAGCTGACAGCAACTGTTGATGGAAAAACCAACGTTTTCTTCAGGCTTAAATTGGCATTAACTCAGAGCTGGAAGAGCTTCTGAGCTGCTGGAAGCTCAGAAGTTCTTCCTGTTCTGTGATAAACATCAATTTAAGTGAGTGGTGGAAGTCAGAAGACTTCTCACTATCTTGTTTACAGTCCCCCAAACTGTTCAGCTATCTGGGAACTAATCACATGGCAGGGGGAAGGCATTTGTCATCAATAACTAGTCACTAGTCCACAAAGCAGTCAGTTAGTTATTGCTGATTGAATATCCATTCATACACTGCGCAGACAAGCTGCAACCACTTTCCTACAGCTGCGTGAACCAGCAGCTGTGTGAAAAGTTGTCCCATTACAGTCCACAATCAAAAATACATAGAAATAAAAGGACAGCTTTTTTCTACAACCAGGTGAGCGGATTAGACAAAAAAAAAGGAGGGGCTCTAACCAGCTATTAGGAAAACCTGAAAAGAACTGGAAATCAGAAACCAAAACAAAAACAGAAACTGCTTGGAAAAACTCAGCATGTCTGACAGAAGTGTTAACTCTGATTTCTCTCCACAAATGCTGCCAGACCTGTTGAGATTTTCCAGCAATTTCTGCTGTGAGGGATTTGCTATTACTGCTCACTGCTGCCTCTTTGGAGGGACAGAATATTGAGGTTGATGGATGGACTGTTGATCATGCAGGGTGCTTCGCCTTAGATGGTATTGAACCTCTGTGTGTTCATGAGCTGTACTCATCTAGGCAAACAGAGCATTCCATCACACTCCTGATTTTTGGCCTGTATATAGCGGACAGGCTTTGGGGAAGTTAGGAGATGCGTTTTCACCAATTTCCCAGTGTCAGATCAACTCCTAGAAACATAATATTTGTATCGTGGTCTGAATTCCATTTCTGATCAATGACAACTTCTAGGGAGTTGATTACAGGGAAATTCAGTGATGGCAACGACATTGGACGTCCAAGGGGAGATGGTTAGATTCCTTCTTGTTTGAGATGGTGATTGTTGGGCACAATCATAACTTGCCACCTATTTGCCCAAGCTTGAATCTTGTCCACATCTTGCTGTACGCATGAACAGATGCGTTCAGTGTGCTGCACACTGTACTGAATACTGTGCAAACATCCTCATTTTGGCCTTGTCATGAAGGGACAGGAATTCATGAAGCAGCTGAACATAACTTCCAAAGAAGTCACATTGAATCCAAATTATTATCTAATAGGAAGAAGTAAATTCACATTAACAGATAGACCTTCAGTTGCAGCGCCATCGCTGGGCAATTCCATTGCTGTGGATTTATCCTTCATCATACTTTCAAATATTCCTAATTTAAAACACAAAGTGCTCAGTTCTGTCATGTCCTTAAAGAGAGGATTAGCATATCTTTCTGTTTTATTTCAGCTGAAGGACAATGCCCAGATGAACCCTTACAGTAATGTCCAGGGGCTGAGGGGATGTGGTCTCCAAGAATCACAACCATCTTCCTCTGTGTTAGGTTGACTCCAACTGGTAAAGTACTTTGGCCCCAATTCTTGTTTAATTCACTTTTGTTAGCTCCTCTTGATGTCACACACAGTCAAATGCAGTAACTTCCACCTAACTACAATTCAGCTCACGTCTGTTTGGACCAAGGCTACAATGTGGTTCTAAGCCCATTAGCCCTGGCAGAAACCACACACAGTCAGTAGTGAGTTATTGCTCACCAAATGCTATTTCAACAAGATTTTTTTAATCATGTTGCTAATGAGAGAGAAGAATTGGATGGTAAGTGGCCAGATTAAATTTGTCCTGCTTCTTGTCAACAAGGTATATGCAGGCAATTATCCTCATTGTCAAACAGATATGTCAGTTCCATACACATATTGCGACAGCTTTATAAGAACGTGTTTCATTCTACTTTGTTTGCACAAAGTATCTTCAGTCACAAGCTCTTCTCACCTACCACTGCAAATGTTCCTATCCACCAGACTACCCAGAGAACCGGTCCATATGTTGGCACATGTCCAAATTCTGGCTTTTAGCAACTTAAATCTGTGCCCCTGGTCTTACGAGTTTCAAATACTGCACTGTTCAAGATTTATCTTTTCTGCATGATTTACTAATTTAAATACACCTCAATAAAAGTCATTTCAAACAATCTATTTCCAGTTCTGAAAAGCCTTGGTTCATTTGAGATTTCAGCATCACTCAGTTGTATGACATTTGACTCCATTTCATAGCAATTCTCCACACTGCTTTCGAGGCTTGAATATCTCCCTTGTGGTTTGGTGAGCAAAGGTAGACAGTACTCTGGGGTGGTCTCACTAAATATTGTGCAGTTAAAGCTTGGTTCTTCTTAGACTATGACCCTATGTTCCTCTGCTAATGTGACTCATCAAGCCATTTACTTGTCAATTATTGTTTCACAGTGAACATTGAGTGAGTTTCGTCATAGAAATGATTAGAAACAGTTCAAACAGAGAAGTAGTTCATTCAGGACAACAAGGTGCGGTCCATCCTTCTCCCCTGCAACAAGTTGGGATTAAGCCCAACTGTTTGCATTCACTTCTCATTCCATACCAAGCTCAGTTTGACCTTGTAGTGCCACCAGTAAAACCACTTATTTTGGCCTCTATAACACTGCCTGATTTTGCCCCTGCCCCAGCCCATCTGCTGCTAAAGCTCTCATCCATGCCTTTGTTCCCTTAAGAATCCACCATCGCAACACAGTCCTGGGTGGTTTTCCATGTTTAACTCTCCATAAACTTGAAGCCTGTGTGATAACTTGCAGCAAGGTCCATCCCTTTATCTCCCATGCACACACTGAGCTGGGCATTGCTTGACTAGGAGCTAATGTCTGGCTTTTAAACTTCTCACCAATGTTTTCAAATCCTTCTATGGCCTTTTGTGCCATTCCCTATCTCTGTAAATCTCCTCCTGTCCCAAAATCCTCCAAGAAGTATGCATTCCTTCAACTCCGGCCTATTGTTCCATCACGGATTTTCAAATTGTACCACCGGTGGCTGCACCTTCAGGTGCTTGGGCCTCAAGCTCTGGAATTCCCTTCCGGCATGCCCTCACTTTACTGTTTTAAGATGCTCCTTAGAATCCACCACTTGACCAAACTTTTAGTCATTTGACCTAACAATTCCTTATGCGGATCAATGTCATCCCTTGTTTAATAATACTTCATCATTTGCCTTGCATCATTTTATTATGTTAAAAGCAAGAGATAGTTGGTTTTGTCGTACAGGTAGTTCTCCTATAAGGTGATAGTTGCATTCTTGCCTGACCATGCACTATAGAAAATCACATGATCGGAAAATTGCTACAGAAATTGGCAGAAAGTTCACGTTATCCAAACAGCGTACACTATTCATCAATTGCGTTACAGTCAATTCGTGTTAATGAAACACGCAGAACTACCTATAAGGATTTTGCAAAGTAAAACCTCAGGATTTGCAGTTGCACAGGGATAAACGTTTCGGAATAACACAAGGACTGGATGACTGCATTCGCCCAAGTATCACACCCAACCAAGAGTTTTTTTAAAAAATATATTATATATACATTAAAGCAATTGACAATTACCAATTGTATCTCTGTAGATCCCATCAGTTTTGCCTTTTGCATAATGGGTGAACAGGAATGACTTGATCCCAAATAAAAACCGAAAGAACTGCGGATGCCGTAAATCAGGAACAAAAAGAAAGTTGCTGGAAAAGCTCAGCAGGTCTTCCTCAGAAGCAGGTCTGAGCAGGTCTTCCTCAGAGTTATCTGTTTTTTCCTTCACAGATGCTGCCGAACCTGCTGAGCTTTTCCAGCAACTTTCTTTTTGTTCAAGACTTGATCCCAAGCTGTGAGCTGTACCATCTCCATTAGAGAAGGTCAGAATGAGAACATCAGTGACTCAAAACAATGAACACAAACATACGAATTAAAAACAGGAGCAGGCCATTTGGCCCCATCGATGCTGCTCCACCATTGAATAAGTTTGTAGCTAATTTAACCACTCTAAATTCCCAAGTACTTTGATGAACTTTCACCCTCTTGAATACCAAGAGGTTATCTACCTCTGCCTTAAAAACAAAGGCTCCTCTTCCACCACCTTTAGACGAAGAGAATTCCAAATACTCACGACCTTTAAAAGAGGGGAAAATAAAACTCTTTCTGCTTCTATTTTAAATGGGTGACACCTTGTTCCACTTTCTCCTACGAGAGGTAACCTGGTCTCCATATTCATCATGTCAAGAATTCTCAATCTTAACTGTTTCAATGTCAAGACAACATGAAGCACTGCAAAGACTCTGAAGATCATGAGTGGCTGTCCAAAAGGCAGTATATGAATCTTGCCATTCAGGAAAGGGTGTACGTGGACTCTTCAACGAGGAAACAAAATATAGACTCATTAAGCACTGATGGTGGTCATTCAGCCAATCGAATCTGCAAAAGGTCTGACATGGAAGCATTCAATTAGTCCCACTCTGCTGTTCATTTCCCTTAGAAATGGCAATATTTATTTCCCAAAGAAATACTCAATTCTTTTTGAAAGCGACCACTGAACCAGTTTTCTACCTCCCTTCAGGCAGTGCATTTCTGATCACAATAACAACAACAAAATCAAAATCAAACTTATGATCACAACAGAGTTCTCCAGGACTACAAGACCAGTTACCTGAGAAGGAGCGCTGCAGGAGAGTCCACCCAATTCAGTGATGCGTGCAGCGGCTGTCGGGTTACTGGAGCTTATCAGGACGGGAGGACTGATCTCCATGGAGTGGCGGTTTTGAGATGACTGAGACGCTTTGTTAGACGTTGTTAGTGAGGTGAACGAGTGTCGTTTTTTGGTGTTCTTCTTTGTGATGTCCAAGGGTTTCTGAGCAGAACTGTTGTGCACAGCCACTGAGGTACTGCTGCTGCCTTCGCCTGAATCGCCACCTCCAGAATTGGAAGTTGAAGGTTTATCCAGCTGTATCAGGTGTTTGGCTGTTGAGTTAAACTGGAAATAGACAAAAATGTTCTCAAATCATATAAATAACCTTTATATAATGTACTCTATCCTGCTGTTGGGTATGCGGGATTGTGTACTGTCAGTAATATGCATTTGAAAGAACTCCACTGATACTTCTGATCAGTCTTGTATCTTGAGTGAAACCAAAATGTTTCAAATTCAGTGTTCTGCTGCACAAACAGGCTCAAATTTTAATTCTGAATGCAATCCGAATTATTTTTTTAAGCATCATTGCCATCAATTTATATTCAATTACTTCAAACAAGTTGGAGTTTGGTGTTATGAGGTTGCCTGCACACAATACTATGGAAGCAAAATAGTGCAGATGCTGGAAATCTGAAATAAACAAAGAAAATGCTGGAGAAACTCAACAGGTCTGGCAGCGTCTGTGATGGGAAGAACAGAGTTAGTTTTTAGAGCGTGAAATGACATTTTCAGGACTGGCAGTCTGTTTTTCTCTCTCCACAGATAATGCTTTAGTCCTGAATTTCTCCAACATTTTCTCTTTTTATGTTTATGGAATTTGCTTTTCAATTTTCAGCATTATAACATCTAATTAAAAGTAAGAATTGTGAACTGTTGTGCTGAATGAGCTTACAGGCTGCAGTATAAATTTGCAGTGGGAGATGCAAGTACGGAAATGTAAAACTAGTCACTTGGTCATAAAGAATGTGATTATGCTGAAAAAACGATGTCAAAGCTTTTCACCATGTGCTCATCCAGACAAATGCAAGAACACCAAATTTCAAAGGGAACCACATTTCCTACTGCAAGACAAAAGGATGCCAATTGGTTGGCAAATTGACTATGACTCAAGATATTGAAGACTGGAGAATGCACCACACGTTATGTAATGATTAATACCCATACATACAGGCACAAACATAATAGCTATGGATACGAGAAATAATGAGCGTGTCAGAGGAATATATAGAGGATTAATCTCCTTTGTCTGTCACCAACACTACAAGCTCTTACTTGCTCAACTTACGAGCCAGTTTATCAAATGCCTTTTGGAAATTCAAATACATTACACGTACTGGTATCTTTTTTACTCAACCTGTTGTTGCACCTCAAAAGAATTTCAATGAATTTGTCAAACCTGATATCCCATTCACAAAACCATGTTGACTCTGACTGCATGACAATTTTCTCAATGCCTTGCTACTATCTCCTTAATAATGGATGCTTGCATTGATTAAAAGCAATTTCTTCTCATTAAGGGTCATTACTCTTTGGAATTCCCTTTGACAGACAGAGGTGGTGGCTGGATTTTTAATCTATTCAAGACGGAGTTAGACAGATTTTCAATTCAAAAAGCAGGCAAGGGTTAGCGGCAACAGACAGCAAAGTGAACGTTAGGCCACAATCAAGATGAGCCTTTTCAAGGGCAACAATCGAGATGGGCAATAAATGCTAGCCTAACCAGTAATGTTCAGATCCCATAAACAAATGTTTAACAATCATCATCTTACCAAATGGTGGAACAGGCTTGATAGCCCAAATAAGCCTACTCCAGGTCGTATTTCTTATGACCTTCTAAGTTCCCACAAACAACATGAAAATGACAGGATAATTTATTTACAGTGACATCGGATGAAAGATAAATATTCGTTGGGACATGAAGAAAATTCTACTTCTCATCTGGTATCATGAGATCTTTTCCAATCACCTGCCGGGTCCTGGAGCGATAGAGGGGGCGGGTCCCAAAGTGAGGAGCTGAGACTCTGGAGTGATAGAAGAACCATGTCCCCGGAGTGACAGTGGGGTTGAGGTATGAATCCCAGTACAGCCTGTTTGCTGCTGAGTGCCAGTGAGGAGTAGACTGGAGCGATACAGGACAATTGCTGGACTTGGGCCTGGCACCACGTGCTGAGCTGCTGTTATCAGACTGCAATTTAAATCCTTTTTAATATGTTATAACTATCTCTAAGTAATGTTTATGCTTTCCTTTAATCCTCTTTGTAAACAACACTTTTCTTTTACTCTAAGATTTGCACCTAGGTCCTTGTACCTACTTGTACCTAAGATTGCACAATTAAAAGGCAGCCATTGTAAAAACCTTTTACTGTACTCCTCTACATCTGTACTGGAGCACAAGTGACAATAAAGGATATTCTATTCTATCATATTTAACATTTCTTGGACTTAAAATTTTGAAGGATTGTGGAAAAATTCATTTATTTCAAGTTTGAGTGATTTCTTTAAGTGGTGAAAGGTCACTGTGGACATTGCAAATTTTTGTTAGCAAGGCTTCTTAGAAGTCACACGATTCTGCTGGGACTGGCTTGAACTGTGACTGGCTTGAAGAGATTCTTGTTTTATCTGGCCTTCATCTGGAGAACAAGATATCTGTGGGGATGGACAGCCCAGCTGAGCTCTCCTGCTTTTGTTTCAAAAGAAAACCTTATTGTTCACAGTTCAAGGTAAAACCTATTTGTACTTTTAAAGGAGAAACTGAAGGAATTTCTGAATAGTTTATCTCCTGAGCAAGCTGTCTGCTAAGACTCCAAAGACAACCAAACATGATCAATGATTTGACAGTATATGTCACAACATCAGTGGGACAGTTTTGGAATATCCGTTTTTATTTGCGTTCAACAAAAACCCAGACCAGAGTGTGTTTTATTTTCAGAAGCCCAATCTTTGCAGATAACTACCTTTTCTTTTAATTGAAGAATGCATGTATGTGTTTCTTAAGGGATATTTAGAAGAATAAAGATTTATGCTTTTACATTACTGACTACATTAAACACACATTGCAACTTCATTGAATAAGTTTTGTTTTGATAATACTGATGCTGCTTGGCCTGCTGTGTTCATCCAGCTCTACACCTGGTTATCTCAGATTCTCCAGCATCTGCAGTTCCTACTATCTCTGAAACAATTTTAACCCCACTGCGAAGCCTCTTCTAAGGATGCCTACTCTGAAGAAATTACCCTCCTCCCTCCAGAACAATCTCAGTGGATCTCACTCCCACTGCAACTCTCTCGTAATCTCTTCGGTCTTGAAACTGCTCGACCACGTCCTGAAGCAAACCAGGTACTACAGCCACATCACCTTTCTTAGTACCTGCCTACGGAACCAGATCATCCCCAATGGACTACAGTCCACAACCAGATCATCCCCAATGGACTACAGTCCACATTCAGGCCTTCCCAATTTGGCCCCAACCGTGACAATGTCTACATTCAGAACATTGAGATTCTTCAGAAGCGTTTCTCCCTGCGACTCCTGAAACACACACTCGCAGCAATGCGTCGGCATCTCCTGGCACTACAATCAAGCCTACCCCAGGTTACAGCCTCCCTCTCCCAGACCTGCAAAGGACCTCTCCTGTTTTTTATCCTTCATAGGATCCACAACCTGAACTCACAATTCTACTCAGCTTTATTGGACACTAAAAACCGTGAGTACAGTAAACTTACTGGTGCCTACCACCCAAAACGGGCTTCCTCCACCTCCCAAATCCCCAACCCTACCCACGACCTTCCCCACAATGTGCCCGCCGCCAGTGGCCATGTGGCCACTGTCAGAGCACCCACGGATGACATCCATTTCTGAAGAAGGGTCTAGGCCCGAAACGTCAGCCTTCCTGCTCCTCTGATGCTGCTTGGCCTGCTGTGTTCATCCAGCTCTACACCTTGTTATCTCAGATTCTCCAGCATCTGCAGTTTCTACGATCTCTGCTGGAGAACCTCAGCCAGTCTAAACCTTTCTTCTTCCAGTTCTGGGGTGGGGGAGGCCACTGGACTCCAAAACATTAACCCTGCTTTCTATCAGATGCAACCAGCCCTGCCGAGTTTCTCCACCAGTTTCAGTTTTGTTTTCTATTTCCAGCATCTACAGTTCTGCGTTTCACTTAATCAGCCAAATCAGTAACAGGAAAAACTAGTTTTATTCTATGCTGTAACCTGTGGAGTAGTAGAACTAGAGCAACTGTGCATTTCTCTAGCCTCAGTTGTAACAATCATCTGAGAGAGCAGACGTGACCTTACAGGATTTGATTCCTCAGACAGCACAGCACTCCTTCAGTGCTGCCATAAAGCAAGAGACTAGCTTTTGCACTCAAGTCTTTGAAGTGAGACATGAACACGCAATTTTCTGATTGATAGGCAAAAACACCACTTAGAGCCATAGTTGACAAATGAAAGGCTGCTCCCAATAATACGGCACTCCAAAGTTCAAATTCATAGAAGTTCTTGAATCTTGACTCAGTGATACAAACAATGAGGATCATAGGAGGCTTTTGAAGGCACAATTATAAATGTTGTATCAAATGAGAGCTTCAAATGATTGTAGCTCCAAAAGCAAACATGAATAATGGTTTGAACCTACGGGGAGCATGATTGGTTGCCCAATATAATTTGTCACAAAGCTAAATAATTCACATTTAGAGATAAATTTGGATCTATATAGAAATATTTAACAACATTTCAATAACCTTAAATAGGTCATAAGCACTATACAGTGGTAAATAAAAAATGAATTCAATGAACACTTGCCTGCCCTACTTTTACTGATGTCTTGACTGTTCCAAACACACAGAAACAACATGAATAAAATCACACAATGGTATCTAACTGTATTAAAAATATGACCAAAGTTCAACTCAGCTGCCCCAAATGAAATGCATTAATCTTGACTTGGACATTTCCAGCTCCATTTGCAAGAACATGATCTCATTAAATGTAAATACGCTGTAGAACTTACCGTCCAGAATGCATAGATAAAGTCATTTTTAGGTTTGGAATTTGCTGGATTATGGAATGAATGAATAGGTGATTCTACTCAAAGAATTTCTGGGCAACTGATTTGCTTTCTTCCATAGGTTTCTAAAGACATCACAGTGTGAAGAATATATACAAGATCTCCCTGAATTACAAATCTATGGAGCAATATTAAATGGTACTTTCAGTGGAAAAAGCATGTCACAATCAATCCTCCATCCATTCTGATAAACAAACTTACATAAAATACAAAGTTAACACAACATTTGCACGGACTCAAAAGCAAAACTTTGAGGATGTTGAAAGTCTCAAATAAAAACAGAAAATGCTGGCAATTCTCAGGTCTGGCAGATTGTGGAGAGAATAACAGTTTCAGTTGGAGGACCTTAAATCAGATTTGAACATACACATCCCACCTACCAAAAGTGATTACTTACCTCAACATAGGAAATTGGGAATATTCCTATCTTGTCTCCCAACACTCCTTCAGCCCAGTTTTCGTCTACTCGGCGTATCACTGTCAAGATATCATCCTGAAGCAAAAGATAAATTTGTCACTGAGGAAACCAGTAATCCTGTTTGACTAAGTAAACAATATATAAATCAAAAGACAGGGCTAAGATTTTGAATCTGTACGTTCAGTGATTAACTGTCTCATTCAGTGGAAATTATTTGGTTACAGGTGTATGGCTGATTTTAGTGATTCCTTGCAGATATGGACGGAGTCACCGCTGTCTGTGGTTTTAAAGCAAAAACACAGGAGATTTGGCACTGACCTGACATTACAAAACCATTTCCTGATCTGTATAATATAGCACTGACAAATCCACAACACTGAAACACCCCTCAGAAATTGCACAAAGCTGTGAAATTTATGAAGAATG